CGCGTCTTGGGCCGTCTCGGCGCCGTCGTGCGGGAAGCCTCTTTGGGCCCTGTTCGGGCGAGTGTAGTCGCCTCTTGGGGCCTTTTGGGGTCCTCCTGGGACCTCTTGGAGGCCTCTTGGGGGCCTCTCGGGGGCCTCTGTGGGGCCTCTTGGGGCCTCCTGGGGGCCTTTGGGGCCGGAGAGCTGGATTCTTCGGTTCGTGCTCCCTTCCTTGGGCCTCTTGGGGCCATTGTGAGCCGTCTTGTGCGGCTCTTGGGCCGTCCTGCAGCCCTGTTGGGTCGTCTTGGGGCTCTCTTGGGGGCCTCTTGGGCCGTCGTGGAACGTCGCGAAGCTGAAAAGGCGAGAAAGCCAACAACATTGGAAAAAACAAGAAAGTTATCGAAGTTGGGCTCTCGGGGCTCTCGTCGCCTGTGTATGTGTGCTGCGTACGTGTTCTATACATGTTGCATTTCTGTACGCATTTGCGTTTGTGCGAATGCATGTGTACACGTATGCATGAAAGCGTGCACGAGTGCAAGCGCATGCATGCATGTGTACGTGTATGCATGCGTATATACACTGACCTTCAGCCCCTCCCACCACCGTGCCTGGGCGGTGGGTCAGAGGCCTCTTGAGAATTTGTTGGGATCTCGTGGCAGGCCTTTCGGGGACCTCTTGGAAGCAGTTTTGAAGCCTCTTGGGAGCGGTTTTGGGGCCTCTTAGGGGCCTCTTTTGGCCTCTTGGGGGCCTCTTGAGGTTTCTTGAGGGCTTCCTGGGGGTCTCTTGGGGCTTCATGGGGGCATCTTGGGGCGGAGAGCTCGATTTTTCGGTTCGTGTTCCCTCTCTTGGGCCCCTCTTGGGGCCTTCATGGGGCCCTCTTGGGCCGTCTTGGGCGGCTCTGGGGCCGTCTTGGGGCTCTCCTGGGCCGTCTTTGGGCCCTCTTGGGGGCCTCTTGGGCCGTCTTCGAGCTGTCTTGGGAGCCTCTTGGGCGGTCTTTTAGCGTTCGAAAGCCGAGACAGGGAGGAGGCAAAAAAACACGAAAATGATTTTGCCGATTGGGGTCTCGCAGGACGCCTCTCGGAAGCCGCTTGGCTTGTCTTGGCAGTCTGTTGGGCTATCTTGAAGCGAGCTTCGCCCGTCTTGGAATGCTCTTGGGCCGTCTTGGGTTCCTCTGGGGCCGTATGAGGGCGTCGGAGGGCGTCTCAGGGCTCTACTTGGAAGCTCTTGGGCCGTCGGGGGGCCGGTCTTGCAGGCCTCTGAAGCCGTCTGGAAGCATCGGAAAACTTTACAGGCGAGAAGGCCAGAAACACATCAAAACCTACGGAAAATCAGTGATTATGTCCGCTCGAGGCCCTCGGAGAATACTCCGCGGAAGGCCTTTGACTGTCTTGGGTGCCTCTGGGGCCGTCTGGGGGCCATCTTCGGCCAGCTTGGGGTGTCCTTGGGCTTTCTCGGGCCCCTTTGCGGCCATCTTGAGGCACTCAGGGTCCGTCGTGAGGTTCTATTGGGAGCCTCTGGCGCCAGTTTGGGGCGGTCTGAAAGGCCGTTGTTCCCATCTTGGAGCGTCGGACAGCGGACAGTGGAAACGGCCCCTGGAGAACCTTCGAAGCACTTTCTCGTGCTCGTGGGCCGTCTTGAAACTCTCTTCAGGGCGTCGGGCGGTGTTGGAACCGTCTTCAGCGCGTCTTGGGCCGGCTCGGAGCCGTCTGCGGGAAGCCTCTTGGGGGCCTCTCGGGGGCCTCTGTGGGGCCTCTCGGGGCCTCCTGGGGGCCTTTGGGGCCGAAGAACTGAATTCTTCGGTTCGTGCTCCCTGCCTTGGGTCTCCTTGGGGCCATTGTGAGCCGTCTTGTGCGGCTCTTGGGCCGACCTGAAGCCCTGTTGGGTCGTCTTGGGGCTCTCTTGGGGGCCTCTCGGGCCGTCGTGGAACGTCGCGACGCTGAAAAGGCGAGAAAGCCAACAACATTGGAAAAAACAAGAAAGTCATCGAAGTTGGGTCCTCGGGGCTCTCGGGGCTCTCGTCGCCTGTGTATATATGCTGCGTACGTGATCTATACATGATGGGTTTATGTACGCATTTGCATTTGTGCGAATGCATGTGTACACGTATGCATGAAAGCGTGCCCGAACGTAAGCGCATGCATGCATGTGTACGTGTATGCATGCGGGTATCGAAGGCGCTTCCGGCGATCACCGCCGCCCCCTGCCCCTTTGGAAGCGCCTCTGTGGCCGACAGTTGAGCCAGAGCTTGGCCAAGCTATCGGGCCAGTTGTTCCCCGAGTCGGTTTGGAAAGACTTCGGGGAACGCATGGGGGAGCAAGAAGAGGAGGAGGGGGAGGAGGAGGCCTCTTGGGCGCCTCTTGGGGCACTATTGCGGCCTCCAGGGAGCTTCCTGGGGGCCTCTTAGAGGGTTTGGGGGGGCCTTTGGGGGCTTCTTGGGAGCCTCTTTGGCAGTCTTAGGGCGTTCCTGGCTTGTCGGACGCCGTCGGAAGCCGTCTTGGGGGCCCGTCTGGGTCGTATTGGGGCCCTCTTCGGGCATATCAGGGGTTCTTAGAGGCCATCTTGGGCGTCTTGGAGGCCTCTTGGGCCGTTTTGGGGCCCTCTTGGGGCCGTCTTGGGAGCCTTTTGGGCCGTCATGGGGCCATCTTGGAGGCCTCTTGGGCGATCTTGGGGGCCTCTTGCGCCACCGTGAGCCGTCGGAATCCCGAGAAGAAGCAAATGCCAAAATCTTTCAAAAACCGTAAGATAATCAATGATTTTGGCCTCGTCGTGCCCTCCTGGAAGACCTCCTGGACGCCTTTTGGGCCGTCTTGGAGACCTCTTGGGGACCTCTTGGGCCGTCTTGAGCCATATTGAGGCCACCTTAGGCCGTCTTAGGTGCGTCTTGGGCCGTCTTGGAGGCATCTTGGGGCCATCTTAGCCGTCTTGGAGGCCATTTCGGCCGTCTTTGGAGGCCCCTTGGGCCCTCTTGGGCCGTCTTGGGAGCCTCTTGGGCCGTCATGGGGCCATCTTGGAGGCCTTGCGGGCGATCTTAGGGCCGTCTTGAGCTGTCGGAAGGCCGAAAAGCAAGTGCCAAAATCCTTCAAAAACCTACGGAAAATCAATGGTTTGGGCCTCTTCGGCCCTTTCTGGAGGACCTCTTGGAGGCCTCTTGGGCTGACTTGGAGGCCTCTTGGGGGCCCCTTGTGGCGTCTTGGGCCATCTTGACATCTTAGGCCGTCTTGGAAGTATCTTGGGGCCGTCTTAGCCGTCTTGGAGGCCGTCTTCGGCCGTCTTGCAGCCGTCTGGAGCGGGAAAAACCCATTGGAGCCTGTCGGGGACGTCGTGAAGGCAGTTTCGCAGCTTCTCGGTAGCCGTTTTGGGACAGTTGTGGGGCCTCCTCGGGGCTGTTTTGTGGCCTCTTGAGGCCTCGTTTGGGCCTCGTTTGGTGCCTCTTGGGGGCCTCCTGGGGCCTCTTGTGGGCTCCTTGGGGCCTCCTGGGGCACTCTTCAAGCGGGAAGGTCGAATTTTGGAGTCGTGGTCCCCCTCTCGGGCGCATCTTGGGGCCGTCTTGGGGCTCTGTTGGGCTGTCTTGGGCGACTCTGGGGCCGTCTTGGGGCCCTCTTGGGCCGTCTTGGGGCGCTCTTGGGGGCCTATTGAGCCGTCTTGGAACGTCGGACAGCCGAAAAGGCTGGAAGGCCAAAATCGTTCGAAAACCTTCGTAAAATTAACGATTTCGGCCTCTTGAAGCGCTCTGGAGAGGCGTCTTGAAGCGTCGTGGAGTGCATTGGGGGGCCTCTCGGGCCGTCTTGGGCCTATCTTGGGCGTCCTGGAGCGGTCTTTCGGCGACTCGGGGCCCGTTTGGGCCGTCTTGGGAGCCTCTGGAGGCCCTCCTGGACTATTTTGGACCTCCCTGGCCGCCCCGTCCTCCCATGGGGGGTCGGAGGCGGCGGCCTCCGAGGCCCAGGACGCGGAAACCCTGCAAAAACACACAGGGAAAATGAGCCCCGGTACCCCCATGGAGGGTCGAGGCAGCTGTTTTCGGGCCCCGGGCCTGCTCCCCCGGGATATATATATATATATATATATATATATATATATATATACACACCACACAGACATGCATTCTGAATACCAAGTTGAACAAAACATACAATTCGCCGGCCCAACGGGCCAGAGGCGTGCTAAGATCTCCGGCAACTGGTTAACAATACTTCTAATTCGCGCTCGCGGAGCGGCCCCTGGGGGCCCCCGGACGAAAAGTACCCCGGCAAGGTCCCGAGAGAAGCCACCAGAGCACCCCAGGGGAGGGCCATTTTTCGACACCCCTCACGAGGATCGTGGCCTCCGAGGGGGGAGCCGCAATCGACTACCCCCCCTCACGCCCCGAGAGGCCCCCAAAAGCCCCCCAAGATGCCCTGGGGGCCCCCAAGACGCCGCCAAGGAGCCCCAAGAGACTCCCAAGAAGTCCCCAAGAGGCCCCCAAGAGGCCCTAAAGAGGGCTCCAGGGCCGGCGGAATGAGCGAAGCGATTAAATAAAATTGTATGCATGGCTCGTTCACACCTGGAGATGTGTTGACAGTCGGAAGAGACGGAATGACAGACCTGCCGAAAGCTCACAGGTCATAAGAAGAGGAGAGGGAGGAGAAGGAGAGGGAGGAGGAGGAGGAGGAGGAGAAGGAGGAGGAGGAGGAGGAGGACAAGGAGTAAGAGGAGGAGGAGGAGGGGGAGGAGGAGGAGGAGGAGGAGGAGGAGGAGGCGAGAGGAGAGAGGAGAGAGAAGAGAGAAGAGAAGGAGGGAGGAGGGAGGGAAGGGGGCAGGAAGAAAGAGTGAGGAGGGGCGAGGAAGGAGGGCGGAGGGAGGAGGGAACAAAACGACGCGCCTGATCTCAAAAGCAATCCCCCGACATGTCTGGGCGTGCTGGGGCCGCCCACTCAAAACCAGGACCCATCTCACAATGGAGGCTTCGAAGAGAACTCACCAGAGAAGAAGACCCGATCCTCGAAACTCGATTCCCGAGTCTCGACTCCGAGGCGCGGCGCGGCCTTCCCGGGGGGCGACGCGGCGCCGCACGGCGACGGCGGGGCTGGCCAGAAGGTGGACAACTGCTTCACGAGCGCCTGGCGCCCCGGGGGCGGCGGAGCGACGACTCCAGGAGAACAGCGACGAGGGCGTGGAGGATCCGGGGACCCGCCTCGACGACGTCGTCGCCGCCGATGCGGGGACCTGGAGGCGTTCCTGCAGTCTCTCGCCACCGCGGCCGGGCGCGGCCGGGGGAGGGGTCCAGGGAACGGTTTCGAGCGGCTTCGGGTCGGGGGCGGAACGACCACGGCAGGTTCGCGTCGCGATGATGTCGGCTTTGGTTTCCGACGCCGCGGGCATCCCTCGCCCTTGCGCGATCACTGCTTTCCGAAAGAGCAGAGCGCTCGAGAAGGGCAAAAACGTGGCCAGCTGCTGCACGAGCGCCAGCATCGAGGGGCGGAAAAATGACTCCAGCGGAAAGGTTACTCCGGCCCCTCACGAGGGTCGATGATGGAGATCCCAGGAAAAAAGATCTGGGTTTCTAGATTTGCTTGCATTTCCTCTGCCTCGTCGCCACGGCTAGATCCGCCTCGAATTTTCTGGTCGGAACGCAACCCAGGACAAGGTTGGAGGTCGAGCTGGAGGTCAGAGACCCATTATATTCCTCCGACGTTACAGCAAAGAAAAAGCTGTTTCGCCCGTCGGCCTCTGGAAACGATTTCTGAGCCCCAGGTCCGTGAAGCAACGATATGGGACGAAATGCTCCCAGCAAAGCACCCTAAAAGCGAAATGATGGACCGTGAGATGACGAAACGATACTGAATCCGCTAGTTTCCTATCAAAGGAACCCTGCACTGGAAGCCACGCGTAGCGATGTGATGGACAATTGACTACGGAACTCAGAGGACTTGCGAGCGGCTCTTCAGGAACAATTCGGAGGTTCCTGAGAGGCGTCTGTCAGGTTCCGGACAAGCTCCTCAAAGGCTCCCGAGAAGGCTCATGAGAGGCCCACGGAGACTCCTGAGAGGATCCCCAGAGGGTCCTGGGACGGTCATGAGAGGGTCCTACGAGACTCGCGAGAGGCTGTTGAAAAGCTATTGAGAGGCCCTTGAGAGGGCTCAAAAAATTGGCCTGGCGAAGGACCCAACCATGTGCAGTTGTGAGTACCGCAAATGTGGGTATCGCCTTCGGTGGAGCTCCCTATGGGCCACGAAGCGCTGTACTAGGCGGGGGAGACCCGTGTGGACACCGCCACTGCGACCTTAGGTGGAGCTCCATGTGGGGCCACGAGACGCTGTGCTGGATGGGGGAGACGCATGTGGACACCGCCACTGGGCCTCAGGTGGAGCTCCCTTTGGAGCCACGAAGCGCTGTGCTGGGTGGGGGCGACGCATGTCGACACCGCCACTTGGGCCTTAGGTGGAGCACCCTATGGGGCCACGAAACGCTGTACTGGGTGGGTGAGACCCGTGTGGACACCGCAACTGGTGCTCAGGTGGAGCTTCCTATGGAGCCACGAAGCGCTGTGCTGGGTGGGGGAGACGCATGTGGACACCGCCTCTGGGGCCTTAGGTGGAGCTTCCTATGTGGCAACGCGGCGCTGTGCTGGGTGGGGGAAACGCATGTGGACGCCGCCACTGGGGTCTTAGGTGGAGCTCCCTAGGGAGCCACGAAGCGCTGTGCTGGGTGAGGGAGACGCATGTGGACACCGCCACTGGTGCTCAGGTGGAGCTCCCTATGGAGCCACGAAGCGCTGTGCTGGGTGGGGGAGACGCATGTGGACACCGCCACTGGGGCCTTAGGTGGAGCACCCTATGGGGCCACGAGGCGCTGTGCTGGGTGGGTGAGACCCGTGTGGACACCGCAACTAATGCTTTAGGTGGAGCTCCCTATGGAGCCACGAAGCGCTGTGCTGGATGGGGGAGACGCATGTGGACACCGCCACTGGGGTTCAGGTGGAGCTCCCTATGGAGCCACGAGGCGCTGTGCTGGATGGGGGAGGCGCATGTGGACACCGCCACTGCGACCTTAGGTGGAGCTCCCTAAGGGGCCACGAAGCGCTGTGCTGGGTGGGGGAGACGCATGTGGACACCGCCACTGGGAACGAAGGTGCATCACCTTATGGGCCCACGAAACGCTGTACTGGGTGTGGGAGACGCATGTTGACACCGCCACTAGGACCTTAGGTGGAGCTCCCTATGGAGGAGCCACGAAACGCTGTGCTGGGTGGGGGAGACGCATGTGGACACCGCCGCTGGGACCGTAGGTGGAGCTCCTGATGTGGCCACGAAACGCTGCGTTGGGTGGGGGAGACGCATGTGGACACCGCCACTGGGACCTCAGGTGGAGCTCCCTATGGAGCCACGAGGCGCTGTGCTGGGTGGGGGAGACGCATGTGGACACCTCCACTGGGGCCTTGGGTGGAGCTCCCTATGGAGCCACGAAGCGCTGTGCTGGGTGGGGGAGACGCATGTGGACACCGCCACTAGGAACGAAGGTGCATCACCTTATGGGCCCACGAAACGCCGTACTGGGTGGGGGAGACGCATGTGGACACCGCCATTGGGACCTAGGTGGAGCTCCCGATGCGGCCACGAAGCGCTGTGCTGGGTGGGGGAGGCGCATGTGGACACCGCCGCTGGGACCTTAGGTGGAGCTCCCTATGGTGCCACTAAACGCTGTGCTGGGTGGGGGAGACGCATGTGGACACCGCCGCTGGGACCGTAGGTGGAGCTCCTGATGTGGCCACGAAACGCTGCACCGGGCGGGGGAGACGCATGTGGACACCGCCACTGGGGCTTCGGTGGAGCTCCCTATGGGGCCACGAAACGCAGCACTAGGTGGAGGAGACGCATGTGGACAACGCCACTGGGACCTTAGGTGGTGCTCCCTATGTGGCCACGAAACGCTGAAGACATGCGCAGGGCAGAGGCAATGGGAGGAGGGAGGAGGGGGAGGAGGACGGAAGGAGGGAAGGAGGGAGGGAAGGAACGCGGGGACCGTCTCTTCAAAACGAGGACCCAACACCACAGGATGGTAGGAAAATATTGGGAAGGGTCTGAAGGGGCTCCTGAGAGGCTCCTGAGAGACTCCTGAAATGCCCCGAGAAGCCATCGAGAGGGCTTGTGGGTTCTGAAAGGTTCCTGAGAGGATCCAGAGAGGCTCCTGGCAAACTCATGAGAGGCTCCTGGGACATTCATCGATCTGGAACGGATAGTGATAATGTCATGGAACATGCATGAATGAAAGCGTCCTTGCAGGTTCTCGAAACGCTCATGATAGGCTCTTGAGAGGCTCACCAACGGCCATCTCCAAAGGCTACTGGGAGGGCCCTGAGAGCTACTGGGAGAGCCCTGAAAGGGTTGGCCGGTGTCTTACGATAGAACCACCCTTCGGGTGATAGAAGGGCTGGGGGGAAGGGGGGGCAGCTTTCAGTTTGCGACTGGCGTTTGATCGGATTCGCGAGACTCCCCAAACAGTGATTACACGTAGGGGCTCCTACGTAATTTCGAAAGACCTGAGTCTGCCCGTCGGTATGGCGGCTGTGTGGTCGCCGTCGCCACCCCGTCGCCGTCTGAGCCTGTGTGTTGCATCGCTTTGAAATGCAGTACATTGAATTGCATTGCTATGAATGCGTCGCTTTGCAGTGTGTTACAATGAATTTCACTGGTTTACATTGCGTTGCGTGCTTCTCTTTGACTTCCACTGCTTCGAATTGCTTTCCGTTTATTTGAATTGCTTCGCATTGCGTCGCATTGCCTCACCTTGCTTTGCATTGCGCTGCATTGCTTCGCATTACTTCGCACCGCTGTGCATTGTTTTGCAATAGCATGGAATGCCGTGAATTGATTTGCACTGATTTCCCTTGCTTCGCATTGCATGGCGTTGATTTGCCTAGAGTTGCCTTGTGTTGCATTGCTTTACATTGCTGTGCACCGCATAAATTCCACCGCATGAGTTGCAGCACCTAGATTGCATCACAGTGATTGCACCACATAGATCGCGCCGCATATCTTGCAGGAAATCACTGTTCGGGGCCCACGCTGACTAACAGATTGCTTTAGCAATCTCAATGTAATTGAATACTTACGCAAATATTGCATATCCATCGGACACGTTACAGCAAGTTGTATCGACCTGGTTCCTTGCATAATTACACTTTTGCGACATAGACACTCATCGGTCTCACTCTCTGTCCATCGACCTCGGCATGAATGCATGTATGGATCGCAGGACGTTCCAATACTCTACTGGTCTTGCTGGTACCTGCTGGTACCTCTTCCTACTCTCTCTCCGCCGTTCTCCTACGCAAACGGAACACAACTGATCCGAAACAATCCTGGCGCGTGGTAGAACGCAACACCCTGAGCTAACAAAACCAAGTCCTGTCTGGCACTACCATGACCTAGCTATGTCCCCTGGCCTATGTATTACTCCCTGGCCTCATTCCTTTTCGTTGTTCAACCCCTCGCCCAACGGGTCGCGCTGCCGGTCCAAGGACGCGGCTGAGGCTCGCTAGCAGAGCTTGGCGCAATTCAGCGGCGAGAGGACAAAGAGAGCTCATACCATGGATTGCCGTCAGAGAGTCAATGAGCCAATTTTGATTATCGCGATAACGGCACGTGCCAACCACGGAGCAGCCATCGCACCACTTAGAAAGAGAAACCGCGGGGCAACCATCGGAACAAAAATCGAACCGCCATCGAAACCACCAGCGAAGCAACGACAGGCGGCCACAAGACAACCACTGAACAACCTCGCCGCAACCATCGAAACAAACATCGGAGGGAGGCACGATGCGGGGCTGAACGAGCCTGTACAGGGCAATGCGGGGCAGCACGGTACGGACTGCACGGGGTTACCGGGCAGTGCGGGGCAGCACAGGGGCAATACGGTCCGGGACTGCACGGGGCTGTACGGGCGAGCACGGTCCGGAACTGCACGTGACTGCTAGGGGCAGTACGGGGCAGTCCTGGGCAGTACGGTGCGGGACTGCACGGGGCTGTACGGGGCCGTACGGGGCGGATCTTGACAACCAGCGGAACGACCGCGGATCTACCACATGACAACAGCAAACAACCACAGGGCAAGTACTGGAACAATAATCGAAACAACAATCGAAACAACCAGCGAAAAAGGCAGCGAAGCAACCACAGCACACGTGACAACCGCAAGACAACCACGCACCTACCGCAGGACAACTAAGGGACAACCACGAAACAACGTTGGGACAACCACGGGACAACCACTATACAATCACCAGACAATGGCAGGACAGCAGCGGGAACCACAGGACCACGACAGGGAGATCACAGGACCACGGGACAATCACAGGACAACCACGAACAACCGCGGGGCATCCGCGGTGGCCCTGGCCCACCGACAGGGGGGAAAGAACGATTTGGTGCTGACCTGCCCTAAATTGGCCTGGATCTCTCTCGCCCTGGCGCAACTTCACCTCACCCGCACACACTTCACGCATAACACGAACCGAAACCAAAATCGATTTCACGGAAGGACGACTCCGTTTCAATTCGGCATCTTCCCCCAACCTCCGATTGAAACCGCATTGTCGCTTTTATACTGCATCCTTGAAATCAAAAACTATGGAATGAATTTGACTGATGTTGGCAGGGCCGCCGCACAAGAAGCATCGCACTCGATACAAAAGTGGAAGCCTGTACGGCACTACGACAACAGCCGCTGGGACACCCTGGGAGAGAGATCATTGATCCGTTGTTACGTCATTCGAACCCTACAGCGAGACGCTATCATGGAAAAACGGCCCCGACAGCTGCAAGGGACCATGTCACATGCCCCGGATTCATCCCATAGTGGACCCGCAAAAATGACTGCGCAAAGCAACGCACAGCAAAGCAATGCACAGCGATGCAAAGCAATACGCAGCAAGCAGTGCAGAGGAGCGCAACGAGGCGCAGCGCAAGGCAGTGCAGAACCCACGAGCCGACAATCTCAGACTCGGGGGCAGCTCGGGGCGGCAATGGGGCAGCAACGGGCGACAACGAGCCGACATTCCGGAAGCGGCGCCCGGTTCCTCAGGAGATAAACGAAAACCAGCAAGAAAAAAAAAACACGCCTGAGTGCAAGCGACGTTTTTGGGGGAAAATAGGAGAACGGAAGATGTATGGGGTTCCTTCTCCCTCCTACCTCGCTCCCTCCTTCCCTCCTCCCTCCGCTTCCTCCTCCTCCTCCCTCCTCCCTCCTCCTCCTCCTCCTCCTCCTCCTCCTCCTCCTCCTCCTCCTCCTCCTCCTCCTCTCCTCCTCCTCCTCTCCTCCTCCTCCTCCTCCTTCCTCGCACGAGTTACTTTTGATATGTTACATGTTTAACGTGATGGCCCCCTCGACTGGCTGCGGCATTCCTCCTCCTCCTCTTTCTCCTCCTCCTCCTCCTCCTCCTCTCCTCCTCCTCCTCCTCCTCCTCCTCCTCCTCCTTCCTCCTCCTCCGCCTCCTCCTCCTCTTCCCTGCCCCTTTTCGTTCCTCCCTCCTCCTGCCTCCAGCCCTCTCCCGCGCACGCGGCGAGGGAGCAGGAGAGCGACGAAGAGGGCTGGGAGGACGAGGACCAGGGAGGAGGGCTGAAACTGTCGTCGCCGCCGCCGCCGCCGCCAGGCCCAGGGCGGCCCCTGCGGCGGCAGCACGCGGCGCGGCCGGGCACCTCGAGGCCAGAGCGCAGCGCCCGGTTCTCGTGCTCCAGCCTGCGGCAGGACTCGGCGCAGGAGGTCAGCTGCCCTCGGCGGGGGCTTCGACGCAGGGCGGAGACGACGCCACCGCCGACGAGGCGGCCCCCGCCGCCGGCGGCGGCGCCTCTGGCGTCGGCAACTGACGTCATCGTCGATGTCGACCTCGTCTTCGTCGCCGTCCGTCGCCAGGCGACGAACACGGCGGCGGCGACGGCGGCGCTGCCGCCGTCAAGGCACCGCCGCCGCCCGGATGCTGCCGCTGCCGCGGCCGCCGGCGCCATCGCCGCTAGCGGCGGCGACGACGATGACGACGTCGGAGTCCAGTCGGAGTCGACGGCGGTGGCGGCGACAGCGGCGACCTGGGAGACCTGGAATGGTGACGACCCCATGCCCCCGCCACACTTCCGAGACCTGGGGCGCACCATTGCATGGACCTGGGACGCACTCGTAGAACGCACCATCCTCGAGCAGGCACGCATGAAATGCACTTAGAATGGTCTGGGACGTATCCGCGTCAGAACCTGCGACGTACCATGCTCCATCGGGCACGCGGAAGCGGTCCAGGAGCATGTAACCTTCCAGGGAGCGATTCTGTGCAGCAACATGGGATCTTCACTAGAACTTTACCGCGAAACACTACAAATTGCTAAGACAGTGCCACGGCGAGGACTTCAAAGGCCACTCTTCGGCGTGCCATTGGGACGTCGCTTGCACGTCAAAGAAGCCGATTGGGGCTATCCACTCTGCAAATTCAAAGCAGACGGCGACACTCGGCTGCCGGCATACGAGGATGAGAGGAGGAGGCTAGAAACGTAGGAGGAGAAGGAAGAGATTCCCCACGTACAGACGGCGCTGGATAGACCTGCCTGTCTGCATGTGTAAGGGGGAGGCCTGCGTGATCATCCAGGAGTGGTCCTCGGCTACTCCAGATTTCGTAATAAAAGGGAGGGGGTCTGGACCCTCCAGGACAAGCCATTTCAGACCCCCCCCGTGGGAGAACCCTCCTAAACATCGTCCCCAGACCCCCCCCAGGCCCTCCAAGATAGCCTGGAAGAGACCCCCCCCGAAATGAGACCCCCTCCCTTTTATTACGAAATCTGGAGTAATCAATTCGAGATTCCCCTCGTAGTGGATAGATCTGCCTGTCTGCATGTGTAAGGGGGAGGCCTGTGTGATCATCCAGGAGTGGTCCTCGGCTAATCAATTCGAGATGCCCCTCCCGCCTCTCTTCCTGGCGGCGACCTGGGGCTCTCTTTAAGCGCACCCGCCCGACGTGCATCGACCCCGGTCGTGAGCAGATCGAGGGGAAACCATTGGTTTCCCCTCGATTTGATCCAAGGGAATTGGTTTCAAACCACTTTCCTTTGATCCCTTCCCCTCTGCAGAGGGTCCCACGCTTGTCCCGGACTTGAGCTGGGGAGTCTCGGGAAGGGGTCCAGGGGTGGGTTCCGCATGGGGGTCCAAGGAGGGTCTCGGGGAGGGTGCACCTCCCCGGACCCCCTTCCGTGGAGTGACTCGGGCGTATCGTTGGGCCAGCCGCATCGGTCGCAAGAGCGTCCAAGACGACCCAAAACCATGCAAGACCAGCCCAATACAGCCCAAGAGGCCCCCAAGAGGGGCCCAAGAGGCCCCCAAGATGGCCCTAAGAGAAGCCCAAAACACACTCTACTGTCGCACCGCTGGGAACAAACCCCGAACATGATCGCACGACCCCCAAGATGCACAAAAGAGGCCTACATGAGGCCCTACGACGCACCCAAATAGGCAACACAGGCCCCCGGGAGCCCCCCAAGACGCCCCAAAATGTCCCCACCACATCTGGGACGCAACCCTGGCGCAGTAGCGGGATGGGCCAGTGGGCCATGGACTTCAACTCTCGAATTACAGCCGCCACTGCTCCTTGCCCTCGTCCTCCTTCCGCATCTTGCGCCCAAGCTGTTCACCTCGCAGAGTCGGAGAATCCGGTCGCGAGGCCTTCAACACAATACGGCCACACGAGCTCCACTATGGACTGAAGCTCAAACCAAATGGTCCACGACGGCCCCAAGAAACTCCCAAGAGGGGTCAACAATGGGGCAATTCCCGCCACCGTGCCCAGAGGCACGACGTGGAGTGTCCTCAGGTCCACTCGAGCCCTGTGCACTGAGTGGCGTAATGCTCTGAAGGGGCCACAGCCCCGAGTTCCAGGCGCCCCTGGGGGTTCTCGCGCGTTGGCGCATGATTTTTCCAGGTGCAGAAGGGATCCGAAACAGGCCAAGAGAGCCCAAGAGGCTACCAAGACTGTCCAAGAGGGCCCCGAGACGGCCTCAGCAAGAGCTCTCCAAGACACCCAACCAGGCCTCAAGACGGCCAAGAGGTCCCGAAGACGCCCCAATGGGGCTCCAAGAGGCCCCGAAGAGGGGCCCATGGTTGTTCATTTCTTTTCGCGATCTCGCCTGGTCGGGCTTCCGACGCTCCAGAACTCCCCCAAGATGGCCCCAAGAGGCTCAAGGAGCCCCCAAGAGGGCCTCACGACGGCCCACGAGGTCCCCATTACGGTCCCAAGAGGGGCCCGAGAAAGAAACTCCAACTGACATGTCGAGCCCTCCGGCCCCTCATGGTCCATGCTCGCCGATACCACCAGCAGGGACGCATGACGCCCCCAAGAAACCCCAGAAACCTCCCAAGGATGCCAAAACTCTCGGCTTTCCATTATGGTGTACATGTTTTCGCGTTCTCGCTGTTCGGGCTGCCGAAAGCCCAAGACGGCACAAGAGGCTCCCAAGATCGCCCCTAGGCGGCGCAAGAGGCTCCTAAGAGGGCCCCAGGATGGACCAAAATGGCCACAAGGCAACCCCAAGACGGCCCATGAGGGCCCAGCCTAACCGTCCCAAAAGTCCAGACAAGCCCCGCAGACGGTCTCCGAAGGCGTCAAGCGGCCCGAGAGCAGCCTAAGGCGGCTCAAGCGAGCTCAAAGATGGCCCAAGAGAACCAACCCCAAGAGGCTCCCAAGAAGGCCGAAACGGTCTGAACAGAATCCCAAGGGAGTCCCAAGAAGACCCCAGAGCCCAGAGGGCCGCTCTCCATCTTTCCCCCAGTAGTCTTCCCAAGCGCTGGGGCAGCAAGCAGCCCACTCATTTCACCACACAGGCGTTTCCAGAAGGAAGTGGCGGTGGTGTGATTCGCAATAGGCGTCTTCGATCAGCCTCCTCCGTAGCCCCTTACCCTGCCAGAGGCATTGTTCCTGGCCATGGTGCCCTGGTGCCATGGTTTCAATCGCTCCCATAGCCTGCCTGAAGGGTGTCCAGAGGCCTCCAGGGTCGGAATAGATGGGGTCGGAGGATTGCGCTGTATCGTCGATACATCACCGATGCGTCAGCGATGCGTCGGCGGCACCAGCGACGCATCAGCCACGTCGGCGTGGAGAAAATCTGGCTCCGCATCCAGCCGCATCGCCGATGCATCGGCGGTGAGACACAATTCTCCGACCCGATCTACTCCGATCCTATCTGGGAGGCCTAGAGTGTTGGCGTGCCAGGTTCTATTGCTCTTTTCGGCCCCCCTTGTTGAAGATCCCCAATGGCCCTCGGCCCAGCCCGCCGGCCCCGCGGAAGCGCTCATAAAAAGTACATCATGTCGGCTTTCCAGTCCAGGATGGATCCAAGAAGAGAGTGCTCAAAACGGCTCCTTGTTGCCACCCCGAGACGGCCGAAAAGATACCCGACGACCCAACAGGTCCCCATGACAGCCCCAAGACGGCCCAACAGGAATCCCAAGACGGCCTAGAGAGGCCTCCTTCCACGACGACCCGGAGAAGCCTCCAAGATGGCCTCCGAGGGTGCCAGACAGGCCAAGAGAGCTCCCAGACGGCCCCACAAAGCCCCAAGGTGGCCCAAGATGGCCCCCCAGGAGGCCCCCAAGAAGGCCCAAAAGGCCAGAAAAAATAGCCCCAAGGTACCCCCAAGACGGCCCAGGAGCCCCTACCCAGTCTTCCGCCAGTGATTCCCCCAACGTGTGCGGGAACAAGCATTCCACTAGCGCGGCCACTCTTTCGCGCCACATCTCAAGACACGAGCGTGTTTCCAGAAGGGATGGCGATGGCTCGGCAGAGGCGCCTTCGATACTAAGTATATTACCTCCTCTGCGGAGGCAGGACGGAGGAGAGAGGAGGGAGGGACGGATGAGAGCGGCAGGGGCGGGCGGGGAGGGAGCAGGAGGGAAGCAGCCGGGGAGGGGTGGGGAGGAGAAAGGGGTGGGCAGCTGGAGGGAGGGGGAAGTGGCGTTCAAATGTGATGCCTCGCCGTGCGTAGAGACGGTCCGCTCGATCGGCATTGAAAGACAATCGGGTCAGCATAACCTTGTGGAACAGATCGTAGGTGGCTGTCTGTATCAAGTATCCCAAAAAGTCAAGCAGGCTTGGTGCGGGGGAGGCAAGGGATGGGGAGGGGAGCGCGAGCAAGGCGACGGGCGAGCTTAAGCGGGGAGAATGTGGAGAGGAGGGGGAGGGAAGAAGCGCTAGGCGCGCCCGCGCCGTATCTGACATCCTACCCCTCCAACCCATCCCTTCCCGTTAAGCTGACCTTTCTCTATCCGCCGATGAGTATCACAGCGGACCTGGAACCCAACAAATACTCCATGCACAAGCAGAAAGGAGATCTGTGCATGAGAGGAGGTGGCGGATGAGCAGGTGGATGGGCAGGAGTAAGACAAGGATGAAGAAGGAACAGCAGAAGCAGGAGCAGTAGAAGAAGCGGGAGGGGGACGAGGACCAGGGCAAGGCAGAGAATGGGGAAGGGGCGACACCGGTGACGAAGGACTGGGATCCAAAAATGTGTCCCGCGCTGGAACGAGAGCACAAATCTTATCGACGGGAGCAAAGCGTGGATCGGGGCCAGCAATGCAGCGTGAGCATCACTGGAGCAAAAAAAGCAGCGTTCACGCTTGATTCAACAGTGGCCCAGCGCGACCACAACTAAATGTTGCATTTCTTCCGAAGCAAGCCAAAGCAGTTCTGAGCAACGCGAAGATATGCTATGCAAAGCATTTGTTGGCATTATTTGAAATCGCTGCCTGGCGTTACTTGGTATTGCTAGGCATTGCTTAGCATCGCTTAGCATGATATGGCATTCCTCGGCGGTGCTTCGCAATGCATGGAATCATTGCTTGGCGTTGCTTGGCAGTGCGTGGCATTGCTTAGCGGTTCTTGGCATTGCGTGGCAGTGTTTGGGAGTGCTGGGCATTGCTTAGCATGTCTGGGCATTGATTAGCATTGCTCATTTAGAATTGCTGGGCACTGCTTGGCATTGTTTGGCATTGGTTGATATCGCTGCTTAGCTTTGCTTGGTATTGCGTGCCACTATTTGGCATGTCTTCGCATTGCTTGGCATTGTTTGGCGTTGCTTAGCAATGCCAGACAATGCCCCCAAGCAACGCTGGCGGAGTAGGGCCCCGCATTCACCGGCTTCTCTCACAAACAGGTAAGAACCCATTAGGAGAAAGTTCAACCTTTCTTAAGTCCGGTGTACAAAATAGAAGACGCGGGAGAAAGGGAACCCCGCTCGCAGAATCTGGGGAGAGAGGGGAGTAGTATTCATATTGAGCAAGTGTTAAAGGGAGGGGAGGCGAGAAGAAGCAGCACAGGTCGCACCAGCTGGCCTGCGCGCGCGCATCTGTTGCGCTGTTTCGGCCAGCCCTGGACTTGCTCTCACGCGCACGGCCCCGGTGGCCACTGGTCCCAAAGTGGGACAGGCGCCAAGGCCGTGGATTTACAGAAGGGGGAGGGGAGGGGAGAGGAAAGGGGGATGGGGAGCAGGAGAGAGCGGAGAGGGGGAGGGAAAGGGCAGGAGAGGGGAATGAAAGGGAATGGGGCAGAAAAAAGAAGGGCTTAATGAAAGTACATGTTCCCCGATCCTGGCCGAGCTTATCCTGGGCCTGGCCACGGATTGCCAACCTCGCCCGTATTCTCCCGACGGGGAGGGAGCTTCGGCGGGGGGAGCTGCAGCAGGGGCCTTGCAACAGCTCCGCCTCAGCCATCTGCTGCTCCTTGATGCACCTGGGCGCGCGGCACCCTCGGCCTCCCGAGGACCGCGGCGGGTCGTCCCTGAGTAGCTCGCCTCCCCCCTCGGACAGCAGGTCGCAAGCTCATCCTGAGGATCCAGGCTCGAGACTCGAGGATCGAGGAATGTGTGTTGGACGATGCTGGAGAACTTAGAAGCGTCCTGAAAGGGTTGGGTGGGTCCTGAGGGGCCCTCCTCCTCCAGGAGATGGCAAACGCCTCAGCGGTGGCTCACCTTCGCGCTGCCTGACACCTTCTCCTCCTGCGCAGGCTGCATCACTGCCCGTGCACCCGCAAACTCCGAGACAAGCCACTCACTGAATCAGACAAGGTGCGAATCACCGATCCACATAGGAATCGTCTTTCTTGTGTGGCTTTCAAGAGCGGCCTGAGCCCGCGGCAACGCCGCCAGCAGGATCGGGAACGAACCCTTTCCAGCATTGGTATTCGCAAGGGGGCGAGGCGAGGCGAGCGCGCGATGTCGGTCCGGCGGGACCGGCCCTACGAGGGCAGCGCGGAGGGGCAGGGGCCCTCACGTGTTGCGAACAGGAGTCGGAGTCGGAGTCGGAGGGGCGATCGGCGAGCAGGAGCGCGGGTCGGGGGCTTGCAGGTGATGTAATTCTGGGTGATGCCAGCCCATCCTCGTAGCTATGTTGAGGTTCGGCAGAGAGGGCCACGTAACGAGTTACCCCCCTCTGGGCGGGAGCATTGGTATTCGCAAGGGGGGCGTTCCATCGAAGAGGCCTTCACAGGGGAGGTGTTCACGGCCAGCTGGTCTATTGTAAAGATCACCCCGTCATGGGAGCCATTCGCTGCGATGTGGGTGGCGGTAGGCACAGACTACCTCCAAACTTCCCCTGCTGCTGAGCATGTCGACGTTTTGGCATTTATGCAGCATTGCCCACGCGTGACAAAAAAAAAGATTTGTTCGGCCTCGTGAAGATGGTGGAGGCGCCTTGGTCCCAAATCACGGCTAGACAAGACGTCTATGTTGGACTACATCTACAAATTCGAGGCTCCCCCTCGAGGAGCCGCGAATCCCAGATCGCGAAGCTAAAGGCGCATGTAAACCCAGCCGACCTTCTACCCTCGACCCCTTGACCTCGACATGGTGGCAAGCGGTCAGCACAGTTCTGGCAGACCGTTGCGCCAAAAGGCGTCCCTCACCTGGCACAACCGTCGCGGGCAGAAATCCACTCTTGGATGGAGAGTCGGAAGCATTGCGACGGCATACCAAGTATGCCATCCAAGCACCTCTGCGGTTCCCCAAGCTGGCGCCTGCGAAGTTTTTGCGGTCCATTTTCAGAGGTGCCCTCCGCCAGCCAAACTTCACCACCCGCATCGGCGCCGTAAGGCAGCTCCTGCCCTGCCCCCCACTGTTCCCCCCGCCGCCGCCGCCGGCAGCTGAGGCGGCAGATGACGCCGCAGCCCCTGTGGGGAGCCATGTGTGGGCATGGAAGCGCACCCGTCGGGCGTGTCAGCGCTGCCTTCGGTTTGCCAAAGGCACGCGTGAGCCTTCGCCAACGGCGTCTCCTTGCAGGGAGTACAACACTCCCTTCGTTAATCTGGCTGTGAGCTCCCAGAACCATACGCTGCACGTCTCCAGTCACACTGTAGGAGTAATTTCCATATGCAGCAGATGTGGAGCTTATCAGGAAACAGGGGCGCTAAGGAGGCTCGGCAAAGATTGCCTGAAATCGTTCCCGTTGAATGGAGAGCAGCACCCCTGGGAATGATTCAGTCGCAGGCAACACCAGAACTCAAAGGTCGGCCCTGCGATATGCCTGGCAAAGTATCTCCCCGTCTCCGCCTTGCTCTGAGTCTTTGGTCTATCTCTCTCTCTCTCTCTCTCTCGCTGTTTCTATTATCTCTCTCTCTTTCTCTCTCTCTCTCTCTCTCTCTCTCCCTCTCTCTCTCTCTCTCTCTCTCTCTCTAAAGGGATCTGTCGCTCCCTTCTGTCGGCCCCCCTCTGCATTGCCCCTCGCCTCTACCATCTCAGTCGCCACGTGCCGCGCGCACCGCCCCGCCCCTTCGCCGTTCCCCCCCTTCTCGTGCGGAGCGTCCGACCAGCTCCAAGGTGAGCAGCGAGGGAATCCAAATTCCGCCCCCACGCACGCCTACTAAGCGGTCGGGGCAAATCACCAGGGCCCGCGCACCTATTACGACACGAGAGATCGGATCTGTGTACCTCGAGGGAGCAGACGGAGACCACCTCCGCTGGAACGCACGCCCAACTCTGGCACGGAGCCGGCGGAAGCGTGACAACCCCCTCTCCCCCTGCCCCTGCCTGCTGTTGGGCCCCTCGCTCGTCCTTCTCTGTCCCCCCTCCCCTTGCCAAGTCAAAGATCAATGCTGTCAGCCCATTTCATTATGTGGTGCGATGAGTTTCTGAGCTGAGATACACAATTGGACACCAAGAAAATGAAAAACTGAACAGCAACCCGTGACAAATATTGCCCCGACACTGCGGGGCCTCACGATGCTTGACGGACATCGTGCAGTTGAATTTCGGCCTGCCCGATCCCTTCTTATCGGCTCCCTGAGGGTTATAGTGAGGACCACACGAGGCACAACTGGAATGGACTAATCCTGCCCCCCCACAAGACCCTGAGGGTTCCGAGGGACGTCGTCTGTGCGCTCGCCACCTCGAATGTGTAACATCTGGTGATGATTCGTGGTAACACTATCTACAGTCGTGCCACGATGCACCGCAGAGCAAGCCCACCAGAGGATTTAGTAACCCAGAGCGCGGCACACACCAGAGGACCAGAGGATGTATTAGTCCAGGGCGCGCCGCACACCAGAGGGTTTTGTTCCGTCGGGCCACCCTGCCCTCCGGGGTGGTGACACCAGGAAACTGGCCCCACAAACGAGGCAACGGCGCCACAAAGCCATATTATCTCAAGTCCTACTCCTCCTCCTCCCTCCTCCTCCTCCTCCTCCTCCTCCTCCTCCTCCTCCTCCTCCTCCTCCTCCTCCTCCTCCTCCTCCTCCTCCTCCTCCTCCTCCTCCTCCTCCTCCTCCTCCTCCTCCTCCTCCTCCTCCTCCTCCTCCTCCCCATCCTCTGCCTCCAGCCCGACGAGGTCGAGGATCGAGGTTCGAGGCTTTCGTGCCGTTTTCGCCTTCGTGGAGCCTCCCTGGAAGGGGGGGGGCTTCTCCTCGACACGCCTGGAGTCTCCTCGACATCCTGGCCAGAACGCACCCCAGAAGAGTCAAGGGTCGTGTCTCCGAGGGAGGAGGAAGAGAAACAGGGGGGGATGCGCAGAGCGGGGGGAGGATCTCTGCGGGGCGAGCGGTGTGGGGGGGGCCACACCGATGATTCCGCGCTCTGCCCCGCCGAAGCTCGTGAAGCCAGAGCATCGAATTCCACCTAAAGATGTCTGCAAGAACAACGCTGGGGGGCAAGCGATCCGTGTATGGGTCAGGTCCGCGACGAACGTCTGGAGGGCGCACTGACCAGAATCACTCGTACCGCATACCACGGACGTGCCATCGCTCCTGAGCGAAAGTGTGTGGAATCGTCTGGCGGAAACTGCCCTAGATGTCTGAGCCGCGTCCCGCAAAGGGAGGGAGCACCGACAACCGCAATTGATGTAGCAGGCTACGGCGTGCCATCCCTACTATACACGACGGCAGCTGTTGCCATGAGGGAAACAAGTGGAAAACAGGTCCTGGAGGAAACAGGCCTTCGGTGTCGGGGCTTTCCTGGGGATCATGTCTCCATCCCGAACGGTTTTTTGACGGCCCTCTGGTCCGTGGAAGGTCCCAGCCCAGGAGCCCCAGAGGGCGAAACAACTCCTGGACCCATTTTCCAACACGACCTGATTTTTGGGGCCAACCAGATCCAGCGGAGACTTGCTCTCAGAGACCCCAGAAGGCCCAATCAGAAATGCCTCAGGTCATCATCCCTCCCTCCCTCCCTCACTCCTCCGTCCTCCTCTACCTCCATCCATCTAGATGAACCCTCCCCGTCTGACCACCACCAGACGTCTCAGTAGGGTCCAGGCACTTCGCAAAAGACTTCCTTCCCGCTGTTGGCTCAGAAGTTTGCAGTTTCCAGCAGCTAAGCTGATGGAGGGGGGTCGTCTTCAAAACGTGGCCTTCCCTCCAGCGTCGCGCACATCCGCATGAAAAAGTGATATACCTATACGATCACCCTTCTGGTGATGAGGATGATGGGGGGGAAAGAATCAACTGCTGAAAACTGCGATGGGTGTCATGATGCCGATGGTGGTGGCGCGCCCTCGAATTGGCGACGACGCGTGATGACGATGTTGCGCCGCGATGTGGTGTCACTATCGACTCCACTATCGATTTCACTCGATCGATCTCGCTATCGACCTCACAGCCAGGCGTACTATCGATGGATCCACCGATCGATCCCATTAGCGATCCCACACTGACTGATACTGGGTACGATCGAAACACCATCAGGACACCACGGCGAGACACCGCGGGACACCGCGGAACACCACTGGACACCACGGGACACCGCGAAACACCACTAGGACACCGCGGGATACCACGGGACACAACGGGACACCACGGGACACCATCGGGACACCACGGCGAGACACCACGGCGGGACACCACGGCGGGACACCGCGGGACACCATCGGGACAACGCGGAACACTACGGTGTCCACCGCGCGCCCACCAGAGGGCCGGACTTTTGCGCCCAACTCGCCCCAGCGACGGCGGAACCCTTCCTCTCGCGCAGCAACGGCGAGACAATGCGGGACACCGTAGGGACACCGCGGGACACCACGGCGGGACATCCCCCGCCATTGCGTGCCCACCAGAGGACTGGATTTTTGCATCCGGCTCGCCCTAACGACGGCGGCATCAACCCTCTCGCGGGCCCACGCAGTTTCGCCTCGCCCGCACGCACGACTCGAATACGAAACCGAAACCCATTTCCTGGTGTGGGGTCCTCCGCCCCACTGCAATCTCACCCCCCAACCTCCGACGGATGGAAAGGGGTCGCTTTGAAAACG